CCGGCCCCGCCCCGGCGGCGCGGGTGGTCGCTTCTCGATTTGCTCCCGAACCCCGCGCGCTCAGCGAATTCCGGGCGCGTTTTGGTTCCCGGCGTTAGCGGAGCACCCTTGGCGTCCGGGGCTTTGGGCTCCGGGTTCCCCCAGGCTTTGGGGTCCTGGGCTTACCTTAGGTCGACTGCTCTCAAAGGGTGGTCCGGGGACGAGAACAAAACACGCATCAGAAAGATACACGTTGTTAGTAATATGGAATGGAAATGACCTTAAATAGGTGACATTGGTTCCCCCAAGGTGTTCCCCGGGTCTGGGATTGTCGCCAAGATCCTTTTGTTATTGTTTTTGAGTCGGGGTCTCAAAACTGTAGCCTAGACTGGAGTGCAGTCAGGTCACTGCTCACTGCAGCCTCGACTTCCAGGACTCAAGTGAACCAAGATATTCAGAGGGGTCTCTGAGGTCAAAACTATTTCCATTATGATAACAAGAAGTGATTTGACTTTCTCACTTTCATTCTCTTCAGAGCATACAGTGGAAATTTCCAGAGGCGATTTGAAGTGTAATGACATCATCACTTTGACTGCTAATAGATTACCTGTGTGTGCCTGTTTATATTTTCTAGTATTTTCTATGGTAGTAGGGTTAAAGTAACAATATGTACATTTTATAGCAATTTATGTAGACTTATAGAGATTAGTAAAATTTATTCTTAATACTTTAGTATTTAAATGTTTTTCTCTCTCTTTTTTTTTTTGTTTGTTTCTTTCTGTGATAGATCACTGAGTATGATATGTTTTTCTCTTTTTTACTTTTTTCAGAGAAGGGAATGTCACTATATTGCCCAGGCTGGCTATGAAGTCTTGGTCTCAAGTGGTCCTCCCACCTCATCTGTCAAGTAGCATCTGGACTACAGTCTGCAGTCACAGCTCTACAGTTTCTGTAATTTTATTAGCTGACTTTGTTTCTGTCTCTCAGGATAGCTGTGACCTCCTTATTCATAAATAAATATCTTGAAATTCTGAACTTTTCTTTGAGTCTCTGCATGAACACAATAAAAAGTAAGTATACTTTATCTTGACTTGAAATACTATTTTGACATCTTCTCCGCTTTAATGCTATGTGATAAATATCAGATGTAATTCACACAAGCAAAAGCTCTTTGGGGCCCTTGATAGTGTCAGAGTGTGAAGGGGTCCTGGTAGGGAGTTTGAGAACTGCCTCCAGGAATGAAGGCAGCAGGGGGAGAGAGGACTTCCGCTGGGTGATGGCTACGTCCTTTCTGGTTCAGATAACATGCTTCACGGTCCTGGGAACATTATTTAAGGCTCCATGCTCCGGCCGAAGTGGCCGGGCACTTGCTGGAGACCAAAGGAAAACTTTTCTTTCCCCCAAAGCCCTGGGAACAGGGAGAGAAGCCCCAAGTCTCTGTTCTGGAGGAGAGCTCAATCTGGCTGAGATCACTGTCTGAGAACGTGGGCCCAGGACGTTCTTACTAAGGGTGCAGACTGACTTGTTCACCCCATCCGTCCTCACGGCGCCCAGCAGAGTGCCTTCTGCCTGGTTCCTGCTCAGAGCGTTTTTGTTGGGTGGAAGCACTTGCTTTTCAGGTAGAAAAAGCGTTTCACTTCACACTGTCATGGGGAGAGGCAAGTGGCCAGATGCCTCCTGCTATGGAATCAGCAGATATGAACTTCAGTGACATTCCTTAGCAGAATGAGTCCACCCACAGATCTGGACATTTGGACCAAAACAAATGAGGCTTTGTGCTGGCATCAAATATCAGAGTTTATGGACTGAGAGGGGAAGCGGGCAGAGAAATGGAAGTCTGTTTCTCAGGAGCAAATGACACCCTGGCGTGTTTCCCTGCACTGCTGGGCCCTAAAGAATGCTGCAGCCCTTGGCAGTGGGCCTGCGAGCCTCAGTTGCTGGAATCTGCAGGCTATTCGGAGGTTGGTTGCAGAGGGGAAAGAGAACGACCAGTCATGCAGAGTCCAAGATTGCCCGTTTCTTCTGTCACTTGCTGCATTCACTTTCTTATTTTGTACCATTTACTTTTTTTTTTTTTTTTTGAGTAGGAGTCTCCCTCGTTGCCCAGACTGGAGGGTGTTGGCACACTCACGGCCATCCCAGCATCGACCTGCTGGACTCGCGATCCTTCTGCCTCAGCCTTCAAGGAGCTGGAACTACAGGCACACGCTACCATCCCCAGGTACTTTATTTTATTGTAGAGATGAAGTCTTGTCAAGTTGCCCAAGCTAGTCAACTTGACCACGCTCAGGCAGTTTGCTCACCTTGGCCTCCCAAAGTGCTGGGATGACAGGCTGAGCCATCGAGCCCAGCCTACCATCTGCTTTTTAAAGTTACCATGTGCCAACACCTTTTTCCAAAGCACACAAGTGTTCTCCTAGGTAGTATTTCTCTTACTTAGGCTGTCTGCAGAGTTGGGCCAGCTAGTTTCATTCTCACTGAACAGACAGGGAGGAAGCCTGAAGGATAAAGAAGTGAGATGGTATTGCCAAGTAGCAGCCTGGTTCTTGACACTTTGCAGTACTTTTAAAAATCAAGCAATAAAGGGCAGTAGAGAAAGAATTATTTAGTTTCCGAGAAAATGAGAAATAAGAAAACCAGAGCAGTGAGATTAATGGGTTCAAATGAAAGTGACGATGCGTCTCTGAGTTTGAGCGCATACCCACCCCCTTACCTGTGTGAATTCAAGAATGAAATGAAAACTCACTTCACTGTGTGGGCTTGAGGCTTGACTCAAGGACTGTGACAGGAAACACCAAGGTCAAGGATCAGCAGCGTTGAAGGTCACCACCCCCCTCCTGAAAGACACGCCGATGACTGTATCATTAGCCTCTTCAGAACAGGAGATGCAGCTTTACTGAACTTGATGTGTCTGTGACATTTCAGTCTTGGCATTTCAACATCAATGGTTGGTGTTTTCATTTATCCCAGTAAAGTCAGCAGGTGGGAAATGAATGACTCCTACTGTCCAAGGCTGATTATGTATCTGCAAGCTGCTGTTTTCAGATTCAATGAATAGGGGACAAGGTTAAAGCCTTTCTTTTAAACATTTGGTTAAAGCCCTCCAAGAAAACTTTTGACAGAGCTTATGTTTCATTCTATAATTTAAGAACAATAATTGTTCATCAAAAAATAAAAGAATAGTGTGAGAAGTTATCTCGGTTCATGTCACGCTGTGGGTAGTAACAAGAACTACACATCATGCTTTAAAAATTAGTAATCTTAGGTCAGGTATGGTGGCTTATGCCTGTAATTCTAGCACTTTGGGAGGCTGAGGCAGGAGGTTCGCTTGAGCCCAGGGTTTTGATCCTAGGTAACATAGCAAGACTTTGTACGAAAAATGAAAAAAATCAGCCAGGTGTGGTGGCATACACCTTAGTCCCAGGTACTTGGGAGGCTGAGTCAGGAAGATGGCTTGAGCCCAGGAGTTTGAGACTGTGGTGAGCTGGGATAGTGCCACTGCACTCAGCCTCACTGATAGAGTGAAACAGTGACTCAAAAAAAGAAAGTAATCCTTAGAGTCCTTACAGGGCATGTGGGAACTTGAATCAGTGTGGTTCTGAGCTGCCCCAGGGGCCTGTGCCGGGAACTTGTGTCACAGTCGGCCACAGAGCTGTCACTCTGTACACTCAAGGTGTACAGAGCTTGGCATTTTTACAACTATAAGTAAGTCACTCATCAGACTCATTTTATCACCAGAGTCTTACTCTCTGATTGCTACATCACTTTTTTAGCCTCTTTGTTGTAAACTCATTTTCAGGTAGTCGTGATGTTCTAAGTGAACAAATTTTTCCATGTACAGATTGATTTGGCATCAATTGCAAAATCATACTTTCCACACACAATACATGTAAAGGGAGTTTGAACAAATCACACATTTCTAGCTGTGCAGTTGACAGTGTTTGAGAGAGTTTTGTTAATAATGCTTCAAAGGGCCAGGCACGGTGGCTCAAGCACTTTGGGAGGATAACGTGAGACCAGTCTGGGCAAGTTGGCGAGACCTCATCTCTACAATAAATTAAAAACTTAGCTGGGCATGGTGATGCGCGTGTGTGGTTCCAACTACTTGGAAGGCTGAGGCGGAAGGATCGCCTGAGCCCAGCAGGTCAAGGCTGCAGTGGCCACAAGCATGCCACTGCACTCTAGCCTGGGCAAGAGAGTGAGACTCCAACTGAAAAAAAAAAAAAAAAAAGGACAGAGACTCCAACTCAAAAAAATAAAAAATAAAAATAATGCTTCAGAGAAACACCGTAATGCCATGTGAACATTGCTGGTACCGATTAAAAGACACACACTCCATGGAAATTCTGCTGGGGAATCTGTAACCACCAGTCTATTGTTCATCCTCTTTCGGTGAAGGATTCTCCTTTGTTACCTTATGTACCACCCTGGCTTGATACTCTCAAAATAATTGTTAACTGAGCTTTGAAATAGAAAATGCGGATTTTAAAAGGTTGTCTCTTTTGCTGATGTTCGGTAATGGCTTTAGTAAAGTACAAGGAGGCACCCGCGCAAAAACCGAAACTACCTTTTGGAGGGTGGGCCCCTCCTAGTCCAGGCTTCCCCGCTCTGTTAGGAAGGTGTCCCAAGAGCCCATCGGGGCATCT